TTTAAAATGTTCACGGAAGAGACGCAATTTTTCGCAAAACCATACTGGGAGATATTAAAGTTCCTTAAAAGTTAAGATCGTCAATAAATCTCTCATGTATCTTCAATATTTTGTATACCTTATTTATTTCTTTTTTATCTTCGTATAATAATCGTAAACGTACAATTTAAAACAATAGTGCTCGTGTGTTTATGCAATGTACAGGATACTCTTTAAAGCTATAATACAGTTCGAAATGAAATACAAATCAATAGACTATTACTTTAGGTAAACCTTCTTGTTTTTTTAATACATTATTTTCACTACTGGATGACAGTGTCCTTCGTGGTTCTTCTTTTTTTGATCGTATGCCCGCGCACGTGCGTTTCGATACACGCGCGCGTCTTTCCCTCGCGCGTCCTGGGGGCCTCAACAGCTTTTGAATATCTATCTACAATTACCTTTTGTTGTAAAATATTATTAGGTTTTACGATATGATTTCCCTCCTTCCCGCCGTTGTCGATAACGCTAACGCATCCGCACGCAATTACGCACTTGTATATTCGTTATAATACATGTCCGCCGTATACCATAGACGGTCGTCGATTTTTGCTCTCGACATAAAAGCTGTACTGTTTAAATAATTAAAGCTATCGGCTATCTACCGGCTATCCTGTATCTACAAAGGATCTATACGTTACACTTGTCCGCTGCGAACGAAGAACAGGGAAACAATCATAAATGTATACATATAACAAATCGTAAGGCGCCTATCCGTCGAGTTATCGGACGCTTCGGTCGCGATTGCGATTAAAATCCGATCGTCTCATCAACACGAGTCGCATTATTATTGTACCTGTAATAAATTCTAAGAAACGAGCTCATTCGACCTCGATCGTGAGAATCGACGATTATCTACGGATTCGCGTTTGGCGGATGCCACGTCAGTCATATAGTTAACCCAAATCGACAAATCGTAAAGATGAATATTAGACTAATGCTCGAGCGAAATAATTTAGTTTGGTATCTGAAGATGTGAGATCGTACGTTTGTTCTTTTCCTTCTTGCTTCATCGTAACCTGTTCGCATCCGGAGCTTTTACTATCGTAACTCAATCGATGTGTGTTATTCGATATAGACGATTAACGAAATATAGATGTTTTCATTGTGATCTTGTCTTCGCTATGCATTGTATTCTCGTCGATCGTCTAGCTACTTAAGCTGTGTTCTAAAATTGACTGCCAGTACTGAAAATCTATAATGTACGTGACGTAAACTATAAATTTTCAGCTGGTAATAAATTTGGTACATAGCTTTAGTAAGACTCAGGATCACTCATTAGCAGGCGGAATCAGCGTCATTAAGTTACGAGATGTAATCACACGAGTATAGCAATATGTACATTCGATAATCCGGTCTGATCGACTTCCGTTGTGACGATTCATGAAAAACTTAAAAAAAATCAAGGATTGGGGAACGGAGAAAAAACAGAATCAATCGATCACTGGTCTTTCGTTTAGCAATGCCCTTCTAAAGCGATCGTCTCGCACGAATTTCTTGCATCTCTGCCTCATACAATATCATTCACGTTTGTTTCGTTTTTTTTTTTATTTTTAACTGCGGACTAGAATTTAATTGAAGATTAAAATTTATTCTGGTAAATACTATAGTTTGATTCGTAATAATTCGAGGACTGTCTCTCTTTCTCTCTTTCTCTCTCTTACGAAGTTCATCACGCACGCACACGTTTACTCATTCGCTCGTCCTTTCGCTCTTAATGTCTCGCTGAATCGCCTCGAAGTGTCTTCTGCACATTTTTCCTTCTCTCTAGGCATCGATTAATTTACGGCAAATTCTCATAATTATGTGTTTTCCTTTTGCGCCGCTTATAATAGCCCGAACGCTGCATTTTCACGGATCGCAACGAGTGATCATTGAAACACATGGCTCAATGCTCTTTCTTCTCTTACCTCATCGTTCGTCACTGATTACGCGACTTCATTCTTACGGTGTGCAATGCCGACTGCGACAAGTGAAAATTCAGCGTGCAGTCGCTCAGTGTGTACCGCTGTTAGTCTGCGTGGATATATTCGTACGCTATTAGATAGTTAAGTGTGGTAAGTAAGTAAATATACAAGATCGTATGTGTATATATACGTGCGTGTTTTGTGTGTGTGTGTGTGTGTGTGTGTGTGTGTGTGTGTATGTGTTTATATATGTATGTAGTACTTTGTTTCGTATTCCGAAGTTTCTTCCATTCTTTTCCTTTGTACAGATATTTACATATGCTAGAAATCGCACGAATTCGCGCAATCTCTCGCTTCATTCAGTGAAATCGGCGTGCTTATTCGTCTTTTGCTCGCACGCCTTTTCTTTTTATGTATCATCGCGATATAAGCTCTATCACATTGGCTTTACAAGCCACATTGTTGTCACGACAATGATTCTAATAATAATAAAATAATGATTACTGATATAATAATGAGATTAATAATAATAATAATAATGATAACATAAGCCTAATAATACAGTAATATAAATATAATACAATAATAATCAAAAGAATATTAAATAATAATCATTAAAAATCATTAAAAATTATAATTATTATTCATCACCAAGAATTTTAGCGCAGCTAATAGTTCCCAACAAATAGAAAAAGGAAATTTAAATAATCATCTCGTGGAACGAATAAATTTACTTCTTTTTTGGTATTTTACATTCTGCAACGCCGTTCAACATATCAACGTAAAAATAGTAATCGATGACAGTGCTCTTGACAATTGAGAATATTTAATAATGATAATTATATAATAATAATATTAATAATTTGTAATTATATATAATAGCAGTGATAATAATAACATTGGTAACGGTCTTAAGTGATCATTCTCGCAATTGTATAAATAGATGGATAAGCAAGAAGTAGGAAAAGAGAAAGGGAAAAGGGAAACGTCGAGTCTTAACCGAAAGAGATAAAAAGGTACGTAACTGGAGATAGAGAGAGAAGTATACAACATTAACAGCTTAATCGCTATGGAGGATACAGGGAGGCGAGTATAAACAATAACATGAATCACAATTATGCAATAATTATTAATCGGCCGTTCCGTCGCGCGAAATTGTCGTTAAAAATTAATAATAATTCGATCTAACAATTAGTTATTGGGAGATTGCACTGTGGCGAACCCGGACCACTTCCGTTTTCCGTGCATTATCTAGTCCGCTCCTAGTCTCCCCTCCTCTGGAATGATATCTCATCGATCATTCATCAATGGGAGGGGTGTCATCCGAAAGCGAAAGCGGCCGGGGTTCTCTCGAATTTCGAGCGAATTGCAACGAGAGCCCGTCGTCCTTCCACAGCCGGCTCCGTTGTACTTCACAGTCCTCTAAATGATACGATCTCGCCGTTGACCCGCGCGCACCGACACTAATTTCGTAACACTTGCCGCATAGAAAACGTCACAATGTGAGTCCTTTTGATTGAGCTCCGTTCAGTTTTGATCGTTTTGTTCTCCTGGCGCTCGTCCATCGACCAAGATATCTTCTTTTTTCCTCTCTGATGACATCTTTTTAGATTCTTCGCGTTCGCCTCACTATGATAATGCCCTCGTCGTAGGCAGGACTCGCACGATCGAGTCCTATAGCTGGTTTTTTGTCATTTAAAACTTAACTAGACCGGTAACCCTCGCGGAACGTCTTTTCTTATAAAGCGTCGTTTTGGCATATTTCAACAATACGACCTTGGAAATACGTCGGACACTCCGCTCGAGTTTCGACTTTGCCCGAAGAAGAAACACCGAGCTCGCGGATAATCCCCATGGAATTTTGTGCCTCGAATTGTCTTAGTAATCCCACGTTTCCTCCGGTTCGTGTTTCACCACGTCCTTCGGACTTTCCTCCGTAGACTGTTGCATCTGTTGCGCCGACGGCGGTCTGAGCGACGTCACTGGACTGTTTTGACCAGATTTTGGACTGGGAAGCGGACTATCCCGATCGGCTCCATTGTTGCCAGATACGGAAGAGACATCGCTTTGAGCATCTTCTTCATATCGATCTTGCACTGGTGTCGGTTCAATTCTTATGGTCTCCTCGGCTTCTCTTTTTACTCCATAATCGTCCGTCTGCATCACACAAACTCCATTAATGATAACTTCGTCACCTGCTCTCGTTGGTTCTTGCCATTCCGGATTCACCCATTGCGGTGCCGCGGGTTTTCTTCTATTGGACCTGACCGTCGTGGGTGCCGTCGGTGTTTCTGTAGGTTCTCTCTTTATACTGCTGGCCGAACCTTCCGAGTCCTCGCTACCTAGATTACTCATCGCATCGTCGACATCTTCGTCTTCGAATTCTTGATTGGGCTCTCTCTTTAGAGCATTCATCGAGAGGTCCAGACCAGAGCATTGTTCTTTCAGTGCATTACCTACTAGGGCCGCCAGATTGGGATTAAAATACGGAGAGTAAGGTAAAGGTACATTTCCTAAGCCTAGTCTCTCCTTTTGAATCTCCAGCAGTCTTTGGTTTAACAGCAATCTGAATTGAACAGGATCGAACGGTTGACCAGGTTCTCGCGGCGACTGCGGTTCCGGTTGGCCGTGCGGTGTTTGTTGCTTCAGTCTCATTCGATGATTGTGAAACCAATTTGTTATCGTTCTCGACGACAGGGCTAGTTCACCGGCGAGGAATTCGATGGTAGCCACATTGGGATAAGGATCCAAGGCGAAAGCGAGTCTAAGGGCTTCTTTCTGTTCTTCTGAGAAAAGAACGCGTTGCTTCTTCCCGGTAGTAGGTCCCGGACCAGGTGATGCCGCGTGATAGAATTCGGCTGTGTCGTTGCTCGAAGTATCAGAGCTGTTATCGTGACCGGGACCGCTGCTACGTCGTCTCTTGTTCGCCTCTCGTCGTTCATTCTTCAACGCCTGCAATCGATCAACATTGTGTGCATCTGATAGCCAAAGCTGCATCCTAATAAAAGGCTCTCGGCCTTTTATACTGAGCATATGCCACGGTTTCGGTTTGCTCAGTAACTCACTGACAGAGCCCTGCGACAGACCGAGAACCGCTTCACCAAAAATCTTTTGGCCGATGTTGTTAGCTAATAACGCTTCCTTGATTTTTGTTGTGATTGTCTGTGTGTCGAGATCCTGCGTAAGGGCGGCCATCTCGTATACGCTTGGTGAAATGTGAGGATGAAGACTTCGAAGAGGCGACGGTGCCATCTGATGATGTGGCGAGTGTAGTGACATTTGTTGCTGCTGCTGCTGTTGTTTCTTTTGGAGTTCTTGCATGCTGAGCTGAGTATGAGGATGATGGGGTCCGGGTGGGGTCAACATCATCGGTGGTGGCGGCTTGCGCCTTCGCTGCATTCTGAAGCTGTTCTTGGACGAGTTTTGTTGGTGGCATTGGTTTCATAGGTGTTCCGCAAGCTGTAACAAAAAAATTCGATTAAAAAAATTTAGCAAGTATAAAAGAAAATTGATAGTCCGAAAGCTCATCTTTTACGGACGTCAAATAATGCAATTCTTTTACTTCTATCGAATATCATATAAATACAATTTTCAACTCATTCTATATAATAAAATAAAGTTGCGTCTATATTACAAAAATGTCATGCTTATTTAAAGTCGCTTTTCATCACAACAAGATACACGACAACTTATCATGACGTCGTGCTTGACAGACATACCAGAGCTCCCGAACTACGTTGATAATAAAGTAACAAAACATCTATATTGACCTGAGTTAAACTTACGAGGCAGGCCGCCGTAGCCGCCGGTCCTCATTAGCTTCTCCGGTGCGATCTTGTACTGGCTGGCGACGAGCTTGTGCACCGCGTTGTCATCTTCGAGGAACATTTTCATCCGGATAAAGGGCTCACGACCTTTTTGGGTCAGCATGTGCCATGGTTTTGGACGCGCGAGGAGGTCTGACACTGATCCCTGAGATAAACCCAATACTGATTCGCCAAATAGCCGCTGCGAAATCGAATACTGAGACAGTTGTTCCTTCACCTGCACATTAACAGCAGGAAAAAATTTGAGATTAGATACAGTACAAACAATAAATTATACAATTAATACTCGTACCGTGGCCCTTACCCTTTTCACAATATCTTCCGTATTAAGGTTATTGTACAGGTCGAACTGTTGCTGCGTGATCGGAGGAAGCACAGCTTTCAGCGGTCTTTGGTTGGCCGAATGATGAGTTGGGGTGGACGGTTGACTTATCAGACTGTTCGTGATGGAGGCCATTCTCTGAAGAGGACTGGCTGCCGCCGCACTGGAGAACTCTTCGTTGGGTGTCATCGCAGGGGGAAGTATGGAATTGCCAAGCGGTGAACTCGCGCTAGAACCTCCAGGCGTCGATTGAGGACCTGTCGATTCTTGCTTCGGCCTCACCAAAGAGAATGCACTTCCGGCGTGTCTCATTGCCTCTTCCATCTTCTCTTTTTCTTCTTCTGACACACCGTTTATCATTTTATTGCGCGGATCCACTTTGCCTAAACTCAAGTCCTGAACACCACCGCCGCCATTCGCGGCTAAATGATGTTGTTGAAGAGCTTGTTGTTGAAGCGCCAACAAACCTGGTAATCCAGGCAATCCTGGCAGTCCAGTCATCGAGGGATTCTGACCTGGTGCGGCATTTAATTTTTGGAGCTCACGGTGATAAGCGTCCAATGCTAATCGAATGTCTTCCTGAGTGCGCTCGATGCCTTGAAGACCGCTCTGCGTACTACTGAAAAAATGTGGAAAGATCGCACTACGGTCAATCGAGGTCATGTGCTGTCCTCAATAATGATCAATCACGGTAAATGTAATCGTACATAAACATTATATCATCAAAACCGTCAACTTCAAATTACATTTCACATAGAAAAATCTTTTTTTTTTTTAAATTATATAGTCGAAATACGATGTATAGTATATATATATCATATTCGAATGCATCGAGCATTTTTATTTGATTTAGATAATGTAGGAAGTTGCACCACTCAAATAAGGTTTTCTTAGCACGAAACGATGATTTGCTCTTGACATTTCGTGTCATATTCGAGCATAAGACATTAATTCGATCGTGTATTATTATCCATTTAGTCATCATCATGCATTGGCAGAGATTGTGTATCATTCGAGTGAGTTGCGATATAAATGTTGTAAGAAAATCCACGTCATTAATCGTCGGTCTTACCTAGGGAACTCTCGCGGACGAAGATTCTCCACTCTCGTGCCCATCAGCTTAGCCAGTTCTTCTTGGTAAATCCTTACTACCTTCTCCTGGGGAATGTCATCGTTTTCGTACTTCTTCAGTCTCCTATTTTGGCTGTCCAGTCTGTCTTTGTTGAACGGACTCGGGCAACCGATTCTGTTCGGACTCTTGCTGTCAGCATCGTTCGATACTTCGTGCTCACCTCTCATTTGCATATGGCTCGATTCCGACAGAATATGTGCCAATCTTTCATCATTCATTTCTTGCGGACCACTATCCTGTGGTCCACGTGCGAATGCTGGCATTCCTTGTTCCTTGCCTGAAACATACTCTACGGGTGAGGCACAACTTGTGGTGTATTCTTACTCAGTTTGGTTGGCTTAGAAATATAATCAGATATATATATATAAATAAATTTGAATAAAAAACATAAATAATTCGCGACGCGATGTTTAACTGACTTTTGGTAGCAGTGTTATTTACTATTTTCGCTCATTTTCCTCTGCTAAAAATTTTATGTCTTAAAAAATGATGTTATTTTTTTACATCATATAATATATAAATATGTATATGTTGTAAAATCTTAAATTGATCTTACAAATTACATTTATTTTCTAATGAAGAATGTTTATTCGAAAATAGTAACCTATATTAATAATGAGTCATATTTGGAGGATGATTTTATGTTCCTAAGCAATTAATAATGCGCGCAATCGATAACTGCGTGCTGAACCCGAAGGCAAAGTATACTCAACGACGATAATTAAAATATCCTCTTTTGGACCCTCTCCCTTGCGGTCTTTCCCTTGCACGTCGGCAGGAGTGTAGTCCTCCTACGTGTTTCCTGTCTAATTGACCAATCAGCTGCAAGATTCAGACGAATGAACTACCGATCATGTCTTTGATTGCTCTCGCGAGCATTGCACGCGAATCGACGAGAGAAAGTGGCTTGACACGCGGCGTAAGAATCCCGTATCTATTTTGACGGTGTGGAAGAAGAAATAATCTTCGAGCGATTTGTCCATCAAGATATGATGTTCCTTACTTAAACGTGCATGGAATTCACTGTATTTCTACGATTGCGAGTGTAGTGAACGATTCTTACCAGATTCGAGAGCTACGTTTTGTATCATTATCTTGTATTATTTATGTTGTGTAGATTGCTTCTAATCCTAATGCAATCGCAACGTCCGCGGCGAGTGCCGTATTAAGAAGAAGAATAATGTCTCTTTTTCATCGCTTCTCTGATTAGAGTATCGTATAGCATACATCCTTCACGAGAAATTTAACTTCCCTAGCAATAATGTGAGTTGCATTCCATCATATTATACGCTCTAACGCTGATAGGTAATGGTACCTTCGTCAGAAGAAATCGACAGGCTTGCCGATTAAGATAACGATAGCGAAATGTTCATGCAATTGACAATCAGGTGGGTGGTTCGAAGCATTCAAGTGAAATCGGGAAAGGAGAGAATGATGACGTATATGCATATCCGCGCGATCGCGCATTGTCGCAACTTTTGAATTCCTGCCAACAAACTCGTGCTTGCGTGATTATGCTTCTGCTCTCTTCATGCGCCTATGAATATACATGTAGAATTAATAAATGTTCTTTCGTAGAACAGATTCTGGATTTATTAAGATTGGCTGCTATTAATGACGTAATTTCAAAAATGAGAAACTATAGATATCGTGATGACCGATATAAAATAATCCTCTTGGCAAACATAGGTAATTGGCAATGTGTCAGAAAGATTGCTCATAAACAAATGTTATAAATTTTTATCATATTATAAATATACATTGTGTTATATATTGGCAATTTTATCACTGAATTCGGAGAAGCATGTGTAACGATTATGCTACGTATAGGAAATGTTTGCGGGGGTGTACCGAGATAAAAGAAATGAGGTCACTGTTACGTCTTTTCTGTAGGCTATCTACGATCCCAAAATCAACGCTATCATTATCGAACGGAATATATCATTTGAATTGCGGTAACAATAGCAATATTTGAAGCTCCATTCGAGGAATCACGTTAAGCTGTAATCACACAACGATTGCCGATTGGATTATGATTATGATTGGCAATTGACTGAAAAATAATCGCCAGTCACAATCGTATAATTCAATTGGCAACCGGTAGTATGATTATGGTTTTACATAGGTTTAATTAATCTAAAAAGAATATTAAAATGAACGAATTTCATCGCCGACTCACAATTTTGCTGCTGTATTTAAACGCTTGTTGATTGCTATTATTGAAGATAATTAATTTTGATATATAGCACTTTGAAATTCTATACTATTATCGTGCAAACCAAATGCTGCCACATGACAGCGTAGCTCAATCTTGTTGGAAACTGATGGTGAGAGATTAGTTACTTGCGTCACTAACATCTTCCTTTCCGTACTTCGACGGCATCACGTGGGAAACCTTACGCGCATCGTACGGAATCGTGCGCGCCGGTTGATTATTACGCTCGAGAACCAACATCCTCCGGCAACTTTCTCATAGGAAATCTAGAATAAGTAGTCGGGCAACAAATATTATCGGACGAACGCGATCGCGGGCAATACTTTACGACGCGTCCAACATACAACGACGATGAGCGCAATTCTTTACTTGTCACATATATCCACAGACATTCTCATTAGCCCAGATACAATGAACAGTATCGCCGCAATTTCACAATGTTTCTCTCAATTAAGAAATATTTTTCCACAAGTTTGCTTAATCACGAATCAACTTGTGTGCTACTTTTAGGCGGCAAATATAGCGTGTGTATCGCAGTAGGTTTTAATGAAATTAGATTTAGGAGTATTTCATCAAGTTCCGAAGGATGTTACATTATGACGGGAAAGGTGTTAGAATCAGACTTTGAAAAATATAGCGTGAGTGCATTGTATATTCTCAACAGTTGGATGATAAAAGATTTTCATCTCATCGCTACTTCGATCGCTCACACATGCGTCAATTTCTCACGGTTTGAAAAATCTCGATGACGGGATAAAGTCGCTTGGAAAATGGCCCGGGTGTTTCGCAACGTCGCGGTATGTCCCGCATTGTTACGAGCTTTGCGCACTAAATCCATACTTTTCTCAGCGATTGCGCGCCCGCCGCTGGCACCTTCGTCTTACCTGCGGATGGCGAAACGTCACGGTCGACGTGCGTCCCGATCGCGTCGCGGCATCAAAGACCGGTTACGGAGAATCGACGAAAGAGAGAACAATCGCGTCCGTTTCGCGGTATACAATAGGCGCGACGACAACGCGCGAAGGAAATGTTCGCGTACGCTTACGCGTACTCGTGCGTGTTTCGCCGGAAAGGAAACCATACCGTACCGGCGGCAATTATATTCGCGCCGTAAAATTGTCTCGACGCATGCACGTGCACGCGACGCGATCCGCGCACACACGAGCGCGCACGCGGCGCGAAATAAGAGAGAAACGTCGACAATGGACCTGATTACAAAATCTGGAACGATTTCGTGGGAGTTCGCCGGTAACGGTGACTTAAGAAATTCACCCGATTGTTGCGGGAGTTACGGGTTACGATGCTTCCGAGCGCTACGCGTTGCAACTCACGATCGCATGCGGGATTTGTGGAGAGCGCGCGTGCATGCGCCGTGTATGGAAATCTACGATCTTCGCGTCAACTCGATTTTTTCGTAAAATTGGCACGTCAACTCGGAGAGAATCGTGTATATTCTGTTATATAATATTTAAGCAACGTCGATATAAATACATCCAATAATTTCATTATCTCGATGCTGCTCATTAAAAAAGAAATGAATATTTTGTGAGTTGTCCACGATATGCTAATTCGCTGATCAGTACTTCAGAGGAAATATATTTACCGTAATGATGTCATTTTAGAGATAAGCAGAATAAGTACACATATTTGTTCGTATTTTACCGTGCGCATTCCAATCATTTTTTGCACAATGCATCTAAATGCAAATTTAAATATCTCACAGAATGTCGATCGGACAATTATTAAGTAATTTAATTAGCAACACAGCGACATGCTGGAAATATAAAATAAGTAACGAAATGCTAGTTTCTTCAAATATCCAGTTTAAAGTATCAATCCTGAGGAGAAACTAGATGTTATCGACTAGTATACGATTGCATTCAACATCGGATCCTCGTTTGCATCATCGTTAAGAACCAAGACGCGTTTGCACCCGAAAATTCTGAGCAGGTCGTGCGCACATAACGTGTCTCGTCGCGGCGAGGCGTCAAGATGTGGAAGGATACGAGCGGTACATGAGATCCGATAAAATCGGTGCGCGAGGCGGAGCTAATGAACGAAACTTGTTCGCGCGGGATACAGTTGGGAGCGTTGCGCTCTGCAGCCGTTTGCGTGCACCTGTGCGCGCACCTGTATACAAGAAGTATTTTCTTCGTTACTTTTGCGGGTGGAGGTATGTCGTTACATACAACAGCTTGTTCAACTAACGGTGAGATATATGACGTCCGTAGACCCGCGAGGCATCGTCGTGTCGATTTCTTTTCTGGACAATTAAAGAATAATCAATGTTGGTAGCAAAAAAATAGTTTCGAATTAAATTGAACCATTTCGATCTTACAGATTGCTAGTGATTCACAATGAATTAATTTCAATTTGTATAGACAGATAATTTTAAGAATGTACGTGTCACATCTCAAAGCGTTATCAAAAATATTCAAATTTTATAGATTGTTTTATTAGCATGTCTAGAGTATCTATGTAAAATTGGAACATTCTCTTATTAGTTTAAAAACTTTATTGGTTTAAAAATTATTTAATATTTTTGTTTGCCTTGATTTTTATGTAAATCACGTTTTGTAGTACTTGTTTACAAATTTAATAAGGTTGTAACATTACGAATCAAATTTTTTATATATACTAATAAAATTTTAATATTCGTGCAAAACTTTATTTGGATCCACTTACTCATTTAAAAATTATTTGCCTAAAATGACACCAAAATATGGTCATTTTGTTGCATAAAGCTATTATAAATAAAATTATTTGTTTAGTTTTTTGATTTTAGGATATATTTGTCACAATTTTTTTTTGTTATTATTAGCTGATATTGACTTTTTAGCTGATTTTTTTGCTGATTTTTTTACAGTAGATATTATACAGCTAAAATTATACACCCTTAAGAATCATACAAGAGAATTCCGCGATACTCTGATTTCAGTCTGTATGTATAATTCATTCACCTTTTCAGCTAAGACTATTTTGTGATTAAAAACTGCTTGAAAAAGTTTCAACTATAATCTTCGTAAATAATAAATAATTTTTCCGTAAAAAGTATAGTATAATCTAATTCTCCGACAGACGAACAATCAGCTGGTCTTCTGATGACCTCTGTGAATCGTAATTTTATTTAATGTGTATTTGAGTATATATGTAGTTCAGCTGATATTGTCACGCGTAAATATTACATGAGTTTTGAAATCGTTGTCGCACTTCGATAATATTATCTCTTTTTCGAATTGGGTCAACGTACGCAGATGAAATATTTTATAATCGCAATCGTTGGATGAATACTTTTTTGGGTTCGACACTATTCTCTATGTATACTTTGAGTTAGTCGTTTCTTTTTAAACACCACTAATTACAAAGTGAGAATAATAAAAAAACCTATTCATGCTCTTCTATAAAATGCAATAATTATATCAGTTATAAAAGCATAAACGTCCTGTCATTCGTACGGAAATCATAGTTATATGACTATGAGTATGGCTCGCAACGTTTCTCGCTGCGGTTACAAATCATCGTAACTATGATTTTCATCCGTGACGGTCGTCGCGAAAAGTCTCCGGGAGACTCCGGCGGATCGCACGTGTGCGACGTGCACTCACCGCTGCAGGAAACAAAATTTTGCAATAAACTGACTTGGAGTTAGACCAACTATGTTTATTACGGTAATCTCACGTTGTTCTTGGTTGCGCTTAGCTCAATTGTGTTGTAGCACTCCGCGCAAGCAATAATATAGACTCAGACGTGCCGTGCTGAATAGTGGGCCAAGATCCAGATACGTTTGTCGTAGGATTAGTAGTTTCCACGAACGCGCGATTTTTGCGGCTTATCTTAAGCGACTGACTGAAAGCTATCTGCGTAATTTATATAGTGATTTAGATCATCAGAAGACCCGAGAACTTTGAGTAACGTTAACTGGATCCAAATCATGTCACCCTGAACTACACGCGAATAAATTCATTGTCAGCAATATAGCGACCTCGACGCGAGTAAATTTTCGTGAAAATTAACACGTTCATAAATAAGTATGAGTGTAAAGATTGAGGAATATCGCGTGAAGCAGACTGTAAAGACTAATAGAGCCTTTGCTCGGTACACGATAATTATGCGCACGATTTACGTGATATCGAAGAATAAACTTTGTGATATTTCCATAATAAAAATTGTGATTTAATACAGAATCATTTTGACTCAAAATCAGTAGCTCACTATTGTTATCATTATTATATAATAATAATTTTTAAACGTACAATTTTTAATGAATGATAAATAATAAGATGATCACAAAGGGGATTCACAAATCACAATAAAGCTTTCAGTGACAGGTTGATATTGTGCCTGTGCTTGTCTATAGAGCACGCGATGAGTCGTTAGATCAGGTATTTAGCCCGACGCAAACTTATCTTAACCGACACCTCCACCAAAGCTAGGCGGCGCCTTTCAGGCTTTATAAAGTCACTGATTTTTGCCCATAAATCACGTCTGATTATAGAAGTTTCGGACATTACTCCAAGTATATTTATGCTATTGAATCACGGCGGATTCTCGTTACGATCACAAAGGGCTTATGACCATGATTCATACGAACAAACGGCCACAGTGAATGATTAATCCGATAACTAGAGAAACGTATTGATGATGGTGTGCTATATTTTTAATACAGATTTTTAATAATTGATTATAATTATTTTTGAATCTAAAGAAACTTGATTCGTAGTATCTATTAATTATTTATGCAAATAACATGACATGCCTCAATTGTTTAATACACGAGCTATATATAAATGTGGTTTAATTGAGAACTAAAATAAAATTTTGAAGTAATACGGCGCTAAAAAATAGTATTTAAAACATTAACAATGACCATCAATATTTTTTATTACGATTTTTTTTCTTTTGACGCCTTGACCAATTTCGACCGAATAATCGGATTAGCAGTGGTTCTTGCAATTTTGATTTACTGCCGCGCTCACGCCACGAAATAATACACGCGTCCCTGTAATTTTACGGCTGACGTATCGAGAAATGTTACGATCCCCTAAGTTTTTGTCACCGGTTCCCTCCCGCCACCCTACGATCGCCCTAACCCTTCATTCCATTTGTGTTCCATCCTTCCCTCTCTCGCGTGTACTCTGTCCTATCCGCTGTAATGTCCCGTGATTGTTGTTACCAGAGATCCGACGGAAACCGACAATCCATTGATGCGGGACGCATGTCGTGCTCCGACTGAATTTTATACACGTTTTATTTCGTCACCGGACGTGAAGGGAAAATGATGGCATTGAGTCAACATCCTGCGCGATTGATATTAATATTTACAAAAAAGCGGAAGGGATCGCAAGCGGTCGTGTATTGCGAGTTCATACGTATGTCGTCGTTGCGAGAGCATATTTTGTGAATGAAGCGCGTAAAAAAAAAGTTATTACGATATTACACTCATGTACTTGTCAAACATAACTCTATTATCACCGAGGATAAATGTTTTTCTAATTACTATGAGTGTATCATGAGAATGTTCACAGCGATGCCAAGATAAAATACCGTTTACTCGCTATAATCTAGCAAAGCCGTGGCAAGCGGAAAAGTGTAAATTACTCTCCGATAATAAAAGAGATCGACGCATTTGGGATTTCTATGTTCTCCACTGGATCTTCCTTTCTTCCCCCATCTCTTCCCTTTCTATATACCGCGGAGCCCTTTATACATCTCACCCCTACCTAGTGCTCATCCGGGACTTCCTATTCCCAGGAGCTATTAGTCTAAACAATATGGCTGCCAAACGCAGCATACAATCGATAGCGGGCAAGGTATGCCAACGAGCTGCGTAATTTAATTAAGACTATAGTTGTTCAAGTCTAGATACAACGTTCTTTTTCATCAAATATTGAATATAATGTGGCTTTGATAATAACACGATATAGCGATGTAGCGAAGTACTTTTTATCTCATAATTATACAAAGATAAACTTATTATAACTGTTAATTCCTATTCGTGTACAATTATTGCAAGGTTGTACAAAATCATAGATTATTTCACTGCAATTGACTTCTATCAATGATTTGTAGGATTTTTATCTGTCTCATTCTTCTAACTTAACCGTAGCGAAAGCCCACGATGTCACCAACGCATACTTAACTCCCTAATGATTCGCGTGTACACGAAGAGGGATGAGATCTCTTGAGCGTTCCTTTCCCGCGGTGCAGTTAGAGGGAACGGAAGTACCATCAGGTCCCGCGTTAGACAGCCGAAAGGTTAGCTGACAGCTCGTGGTTAGTGATTCGGCGAGATGGATTATTGGCAGTGCGAGGCGGAAGATTTTCGAGAGTTAAGTTAATCGACAAGTTCGTCGTCGACGATGAAGGCAGAAGTACATTGTGGCGGATAACTCGTTGTAGGAATTGCTGTCTCAAGAATCGAAGACGGAATGTGATTAACAATGTAATTACACACTTAAGATAGCAAACTATTCGACCGCACATCCTCGAATGATCACGTTGAACTTTATCATAAACGCGGTTTATCGCGCTTATGAGGCGTGGAAGGAAGCGAAATTAATCATGATTGCCACAAGTATCCGCTACAATGTGGCGGCATATGTAATTACGATGTCTCGTCCGTCTTCATAGACATCGAGACGTCAGATGACCCAGCCTTCGTCGTGTCGGACGTTACGCAGAGGCGCGTCGAGAAATTGTACGAAACGATTGAAATAAAAATTAAAAAACTTAGTGAGAAACGGAGAGAGAGAGAGAGAGCTGGAACTGATGATCGGTACTCACCTTTCTTGGGGATGAGGGACTTGAGCAGCATCACGGCGTTCTCGTCGCAAGCCCAACCGTGCATCTTCCGATAACTGTCGCGGCCCTTTTCGGTTAACTTGTCCCAAGGCTTGGGCTTACTAAGTAACTCGCTGACCGTGCCTTGACTTAACCCGAGAACATATTTGGCGAATAGTCTTTGACCGATATTGTGTATCGATAATAGTTCGCGCACCCGCCTGGCTATATGAAGAGTGTCAAGATTCTGTGAGGCGTACTTATCCATATTATGACGCAACATTTCCTGCAGTCTCGCCTCCATGGGATCTCCCTTTGGAATGAGGGATTCGCCCAGCCGACCGGCCATACCGGCGGCACCGAACTCGTCGCCGAATCGGAAGGGATACGTTCGATCGTCAAATCGAAACGGACTCTTCAGCGTATCGAGAACGTTTAGTCCACCGATATTGTTATTTGCTAGATGATGGCTATTATTATTATTGTGACATGATTCTTGATCAGGCGGACTCTTCGGGGGCGGTGCACTTGGTATGCCGGGCGTGAGACCGCTGCCATTAATGGAAGCTGAAGTGGTACTAGTTTCCACCATCGACGTCGGTGGCTGGAAACTCGGTGGCGATGTCAAGGCGGTTGTGGAGGATGGTGTTGGAGGGGCTGGTGTCTCATGTCCCGATACTGGCGTTGGCGCTTTCTCAATGACATCTAAACTGCCCAAGGATGTACCGATCGGTGTGTTCGATTTCACCGGAGTGTTTGAAGTGGACGATGGATCCGCACCCGGCGACGGAAGATGATTTAAACTACTTGGCGTTGTTGGCGGGTGTAAACCCATGTGCGGTTGGGCTTGCTGTAATTGTTGTTGCTGTTGAGTTAATTGGCTTAATTGAGATGGCTGTGATTGTTGCTGCTGTTGTTGCTGCTGTTTGCTGCTGCTGCTGTTGCTGCTGTTGCTGTTGTTGGCTCATGATAGACCTTTCCAATGTCCGCCTCCAATTGGCAACGATTTCTTCACCGAGAAACGAGCCGAAGGTCTCGACGTTCTGGAGGGGTGGCGGGAAGAGGAGGCTCGAAGTCGTCGAAGTGGCCGAAGAGGGCGTCGGGGTGGAACGTGGAGGGAGGGAGGCTGCTGTCGGAGGCGGTGGCGGTGGTTGCTGGGAGGACACATGGGACGTAGGTGGCACACCTCCGACCCCGTGGGGCGAGGCGGTCGAGGCGCGCTGCAGGGGTGACGATAATCCACCTGCAACCACCAAAAACACAAGGGAGCCCGTCAGCACGATCTCACGTACATGACATTCAACCTAACTTCGGCTCGCGATGTTGGTCCCGTTCTGATCGCCAGTTTGTCCGCGCTGTCTCTTTCAAAGTGCAAAATCGACCGGTGACTTCGGTTCTCTTGATCATCTTCAGAGACGTCGGATGACCGAGACTCTCTTTTTCGACACTTCGTCGGATCATAATCCACGCTTGAGTGTACAAACGAGGAGCGACGTGGACGCCAACGAGAGGAAGACTGGTGGAGACGTTGCCGATCGCCCGGAAAGAAATCGTGGACGTAAGGATATCGCCCATCTCGCGTTGAATGTTGATCGCGATGACGCGTGCGGATTTGAGAAATCACGTCAAATAAGACGCAATTTTTTTTGTCTTGCGACGTATTTGTCGCGAATATCAGAGTACGAAATATCGAAGGATTTAGAACAAAAACGTAACTGTTTGAGAAGTATTGTGTAATTTTTTAAAATACCATCGAGACTGGTCTCGAAAAGGATTTTATATTGCTACGTGATCTCAGCATACGAAATGTTTGAAACCTTTACGTAAATACGGTCTTATTCCGTTACGGTCGAAGGAAATAATAGCGGGATCGGAAAGATAGGAACGCAAGCGACGACGACGTAGAAGGATGGATTCAGTCGGTTTGATTTAGAAGGGGCGACACGTTGCAGTATCCCTCTGGCTCTCTGCATGTATAGGGTATCTCTTTCTCATTCTCTCTCATCGCGTGCTCTCTCTGTCAGCTTGGATCGATTCATAATAAACTCTGTCCCCGAAACAATGGCTTGGCCCGGGCAAATATTGCGAATATCGTCCACAAATTTGCGTGCACGAAGTTTGCGTTT